CCTTTTCCAACCAGGAAACGCAAAGCTTTTCCTCAGTGCTCTGAAAATCAGACCCAGCAGGTTGTGGAGAGGGTGTGTGAGATGTGCCAGTCACAGCAGCTGGGCTCAGCATTGCAAAAGCATCAGGAAACCGAGTTTCAGCTCAGAAAAAAGTCAGTTTGGTGCCACTGCCAGGAAAGAAACCTTGTAGTCCAGCTCTGGAGCAAAGGAGATGGTTTGGTTGCTTCAGGGTGTGATGAAATGGTGGAGAGACCCTGCCAAGAGGCCAAAGGCAACAGTCACAAGGCAGAAAATGAGAACTGGTGATGTTAAACCTCTACACTGCCACCCCTGAGCAGCTGAGGCGCTCTCCCTCCACCAGAGCCTGGAATCTCCATCTCCTTTTCCATTGGGAAGCCCAGAGAAGTCTCAGATTGCAGCAGCCGAGGGTCTGGCAGGGGTGGGGAGCAGATTTATCCCCCAGGAGTGGCAGTGCCTGTGTCCCACCCACAGCTGGATGCAGTGCTGGCTGGGGTGGGACTCAGAAATGTCTCGGGGTTTGTGCAGCTCTGTGCCCTCACCCTGTCACTGCTGGGAGTCTGCTGCTCACAGGGGGCTTTTAAGGAAGGTGGGGATGAACATCTCCGGAGAGCTTGTTGGGCCAACAGGGGATAATTGCTTTTCATTTTAAAACAGGGTAGATTTAGACTTGATATAAAGGAGAAACTTTTTAAAATGAAGGTGGTAAAACACTGAAATAGGCTGCTGAGAGAGGTGGTGGCTGCCCTGTCCCTGGAAACATTCAAGGCCAGATTGGATGTGGCTTGGAACAATCTGGGATGGTGGCAGGTGTCCTGGCACGAGGTGGGAACAATGTGATCAATAAAGTCCCTTCCAACCCAAATCATTGGGTTCATTCCAAACCAAACCACGATCATGAGCCTCACTGGGGTTTGGTTTCGGATCCGAGTCCTGTGCAGAGCCCCAGGCTGCGTGAGGCTCCAGCGATTCGGCACAGAGGGGACAGCCAGTGGTGCCTGCTCCTGTCACTGCTGCTCCCCCGGGGCTCTGCTTCTCTCAGGCGAGTCCTGAGTCATTGTGAAACCTCAGCTCCGGGGCTGCCGGGGGCTCAGCTGCAGCACAGCCTGGCCCTGTGGGAATGGAGCTTCGCTGAAACCGAGCACCTCACTGGGGACCTGCTGAGAACCTGGTGAGAACCTGCTGGGGACCTGCTGGGGACCTGCTGGGAACCTGGTGAGAACCTGCTGGGGACCTGCTGGGGACCTGCTGGGAACCTGGTGAGAACCTGGTGAGAACCTGGTGAGAACCTGGTGAGAACTGAGAACCTGGTGAGAACCTGGTGAGAACCTGGTGAGAACTGAGAACCTGCTGGGAACCTGGTGAGAACCTCATGAGAACCTGGTGAGAACCTGGTGAGAACTGAGAACCTGCTCACAGCCCTGTTTTTGCTGCTCCCCCTGGCCTCTTTCACAACAAAAGCCCAAATTTTGGTCACATGCTGCAGAAATCGAGGACACAGAGGGTCAGGAGCTGCATGGGCCTGAGTGGTGCAGCCGGTTTGAGTTAAATAACAAGTGTTAACTGCAACAAAATGAGGAAAGTTCTGAAAGCTTCTGCAGTTCAAAAGATGTTACAGCAGAGTTAAGTGTTTTAATTTTGCTCCTTTTGTGCCTAAGGTCCCTCGTATCACCTCAAGCCTTGTCCCTGGTCTTAGTGGCACCCCAGGAGGACGAAGGGTGATGGAGAAGGTGCTCATCTTCCTCATGACAAGACAGAAATATTTTCCTGTTCCAAGAAAGAGGCCAGTGAGGTTTGGTTCCTCAGTCCCAGTACACGACAGGAGGTGGCTGTCTGTCCCATTAGGGACTTCGTGGTTAGGTTCTGTCTCCCCTTGAGCTGAGGTTGATGAGAGGGAGGCAGTTTTCTCTGTTCGGTCTTGGTTGTTTATTCTTTTCTTATCAGCATTACATACAAGGTGAAAGGAGCCATAGGAGCCATGTGCACTAAGATAGAAAGGCGTAAAATGGCCAACAAAGATCCTCTTCAAGGTCTTTTATATGTCCATTTACCCAATTAACAGATGCCAACTAAATTATTTTTCTTAGTGACCCAATGACCCAACACCTGTGTGCTGCACTGCGGCATTCTCTATCCAATCACTCACTACCACCCAAAAACCTCTAGAAGAAGAACATGAAGAAGAAAGAAGAAGTACAAGAGACAACACCCTAAATCCTCCATCTTTTCTCCTGCTCTCTAAACTACTTTAAACTCCAAACTTTAACTTTTTCACCCAGTCACCTAAGAAACTTTCTAATTTACACACTTACATTTTCAGTTTTACAACTTAACTCTGTTATAAATGCATATCATATTATTGGCTTTTTGCAAGTATTATAATGAATATTATATGTATAAGATTAGAAAATTTAGCTGTAATAATATAGTCTTTTTTATTTCTGTTATTAATGAAACTTAGAAATAGTGGTATAATATATGTATGTTAAGCTATGACATAGCATTAAAACAAAAACTACTTTTGTTTGTGTAACCCAAAGACTGAAAAAGATAGATGGAGACCTTTTCTTCTTTTGTAAACTCTCTTAACCAGATGAAGACAGCAGTGACCAGAACTCTGGGGGGAGGAATTTATTGCATTTCTGGTATCAGGGAATGTAAATCTCAATGGTGCCAAGAAGATTGATCTATTGGGAAGGGGGCAAGAGAAAACTAAACAGAAGAACACCAAAGATCCTAAGAAGAATGTATGAATATGTATGAGAATTTATGGATATGTAGTAGGATTCTGTTTTTAAGGGACAATCCTTTGTTAGTAAGGTGAATGCAGAGACACCTGGCTGTATTTGTATACTTTACTTTATTTTTTTCTCCTAATTGTTTTTTTATTAAACTTTTAAATTCTATAAAAATTATGTGAACCTCATTTTTCACAACTCTAACAGTTGTCTCCATGGTGCTATGTGAAATTCAGTGCTTTCTTGGGTGTCAGAGTTAGGCATTACAGATAAAGGTAAATATCTTTCATCTCTGACCCCAGCAGCTGTCTGTCTGTCCTGCTGTGTTCAGGAGACACTTCCACCCTGGTGTTCAGCTGGGATTTGCCGTCCTCATGGTGAGCCAGCAGGAGAGGATGAAGGAAGTTAATTACTTTGCTGACAGCAAGTGCAGCAGCTGGTGCTTATGGCTTTGAGGAAAGTTTCTGAAGAGAGAAGCAGCAGAAGCAGCAGAAGCAGAAGCAGAAGCAGCAGCTCCCCCCTGGAGCAGAAACTCCAGGGGGAGATGCAGAATTTGGGCTGGTGGGAAGCTCAGCCCTGGGGCAGAGCAGGAGCAGCCGAGGTCAGGAGGTGATTTAGGCTCTCGGGACTGGGGCTGCTGAGCCTCAGCGCTCTCAGGGGGAGGATACCCAGCAAGGAAACCCAACTTCTGTGGGATAACAAAACCAGAAACCACCACCTTTGATCTCTGCCACGGCCTGGTGCTCGTACTGTATCACCCAGGCTGCCACTGAGTCTGGCAGGAACTGCATCAGCACTGGGGGCTCAGGAGCCCTGCCGAGGCTCACAGCAGCTTTTGGGGAGGCAGGAGGATAAAAAGGCTGCGTTTTATGCTGTTTTTTTCCCCAAAGCACTGATATTTTGGGCTTAGCTGGTGCTAAGGGGTCTGCAGAGCTGCTGCCCACCCCCAGCACAGGTCGGGGTGCAGCTTGGAGAGATGCTGGGCGATGCTGGTGCCAGGATCCTGGCTGGAATTAGGTCACCTGGATGACTTGGGATGGTGCCCTGAATCTCCCAGCTCTCCAAGCTGCCATTTGGGCTTTTTTCCCTGTTTTTTTAAGCAGTGCATCCTGGCACTGCCGTGGGCAGAGCTCCAGCAATGGGAAAATGCTGCCGGAGGACACGGTGTGGATGACTCGTGTGACTGCTCCTCCCCTGGTGTTTCCCCGCTGTCAGAGATCAGTGACAGCTACCTCGTGAGAAATTTGCTTTTCAAAGTGACCGAGCTCAGGCTTTCTCACTTCCCTGCTCGTTAACACCGGCAGCATCTCCCTGGTGGTCCTTCCCACCTGGATCTGTGGCCACCGGGCTCTTTCCCACCTGGATCTGTGCCCACCCTGCACAGCATCCAGGAGCTGGAGCTGATTTACAGCTCCATCAACAAGAACAGCACAGAGCCTGGATTCATCAGGGAGTCTTTATTAGCAAAAATAAAGGATTTCTTTTCACACAGATAAATAGGAGAAAGTTCACCCAGTGGCAGGAGCCGTGCTGATGTTGTCCTTGGCTCCAGGGCTCTCTTTGCTTCTCCCACAACATTGAAGGTGTTTGGAGGGAAAATCAAGCACAGAATTGGCTCAATGAGAGCTTAACATGCCCTGGTAAGATTAATTTAAGTTTTACAGTCTTTGGCTGCCCTTGAGCCTGAACTTTCAGCAGGAGGAGCAACCCATGGAGCAGCATTCCTGCCCTGCTCCGGAATATCCAATTCCTGTGCGGGCAGGCTGCCACCAGAAATGTCCACAAAGAATAAATCCTGTATAAATAACCTCCCCTCAGCTGGGACTTGCACAGCAAACACCAAACTGGCAGTGTTTCATCATGTGGGGGCCCTTCCACTTCTAAATATTAGAAGTAAAAGCCTCTCTTGGGGTTGTGGCGTTTTCCTCTGGCTCAGTGTCCACCGGGGTGAGGAGGAAGCTGAGCCCTAAAATCAGCCACTTTTAGGGCACAGAAGCTGCTCCTGCTGCTCGTGGGGATTAAAAATTCAACCCCACCATCGGCAGTGCTGGGAGCAGCCCCGGGGATTTGAATGCAAATTACCCGAGCCACCTTAAAATGGTGGTTAATTAAATATCCTCTAACTCCTAAAAGAAAACCAAGAGCAGTAAAACAGAGAGTAAAACCCAATCAGAGACTGGGAAGTAATAAGGTTAACTTTGGAAAGTGCAGAGTGGCTGACCCAGCAGCTCTGGTAGGCAGATACTGAGCAATATTTAAGTTCTATTAGAACCAAACATTTCATTCCTATTACTAATTTTTTAAAATTTAGTCTGGACTAATCTACAGGCTGAAGTCTAAATTGGAGTCAACCAAGCTGTTGCTGTGTTTTTTTTCTCCTCCTAAACACAAAACCACTGATTGCATAAATAAATAGAGATATAGGATATGAGGAGAGGGTCATTTGCCTAAAATTAAATTTTGTTGAAGTCAGAGCTGGCCTTGCTCCTAATCAGGAGTGGAATTCACTGGGGATAAGCTCAGCTCATTGTCTGCCCTCCAGAAAAACGCTGCTTTGGGTGTTTTGAAGCTATGCATAAAATAACACTATGATAAACAATATTAAAATATGGAACAATAAATAATAATTTACAAGCTCATCACTCTTTTCTTCCAAACATACTGTAAACATCAACACTGAGGTATTAGAAGTAATAAATAATAAATTCAACTATTAAAAAAATAACTCTTAAATACAATATTGAGCTGGATTATTAACCTGTAACTCTTGACCTGAACCTTGAGATAACTTAATTTGACTCTTGCAGACTAAAGTGATTTTTAAACAAGTAGCAGGATTTGGTGTGGAAAATGCAGACCCAGGGATGCTCTCATTTCCTTCTCCTCATTGTTAAATATTTCTCGATGTAGTTGATGAAGATGTCAAACTCTCCCATGGCCTTGTAGATTCCGTTCGTGTTCATCTGCAGGGGAAAGCCGGCTGTGCTTAGTGCGCCTGTCACAGATGTGTGATGGACAATGCCTGGACAAATCCTCCTCCCATGGACACCTCCAGCGTCTCTGCCCAATCCCCTGGGAATTCCAGAATTCCCACCCCTCAATCGGCACTCCCTGGATTCCTCTGCTGCAAGAATTTGAATTATTAAAGAGCTTTTTGGGTTCTGTCCTGCCCTCTAAGGTGTCTGCCGTGCCATGGCAGCCCCGGAGCCTGGCCTTACCCTGGCGAAGGTGTCCTTGATGTGCTTCATGCTCCTGCTCCTCTCCTCGCAGGTGAAGAATCTGTGCTGCAAAGGGACACGAGCGGCGGCCTCAGCCCCAGGGGTTCCTCCCCAGGGTGTGGTGGTGGCTGTCCCCTCCTCCTGTCCCTTGTGGCTGCTGCTTCCCCCTTCCCCTTCCCCCTTCCCCTTCCCCCTGGGCGCAGCAATTCCAGCTGTTCGCACCGTGCGCTGACGGACAGAGCCCGGAATGAGCCCGGCCTGGGCTCTCAGCCTGTCCCCAGCCCCGTCAGTCAGTCAGTCCCTGGGGACAGCAGCTCCGTGTGCGGGACAGGGTTTGTCCCTGCTGTCAGTCCCTGGGGACAGCAGCTCCGTGTGCGGGACAGGGTTTGTCCCTGCTGCCAGTCCCTGGGGACAGCAGCTCCGTGTGCGGGACAGGGTTTGTCCCGTCTGCCTGCAGTGCTGGGCTCATGGCCAGGTGAGGCTTCAGCAGCTCCAGCATCCAGGTGAGGGACAGATCCCCTCGTGCCTCCCTTTGTGTCTGCAGGGCTGGCTGCCCGCAGCGCCCCTGCACCATCAGCCCTGAACCGATGTTCAGGAGCGCCCTGCCTGCATCCCTGCAGCCCTGAAACCCTGAAATCCTGCATCCCTAATCCCTGCAGCCCTGCAGCCCTGCATCCCAGAAACCCTGAAACCCTGCATCCCTGAATCCCTTCATTCCTGTATCCCTGCATCCCTGAAACCCTGCATCCCTGCACTCCTGCACTCCTGCATTTCTGCATCCCTGGATCCCTGCATCTCTGCATCCTTAATCCCTGCAGCCCTGCTTCCCTGAACCGATGTGAGCACAAACTCTGTCCTGGAGCACCCTGCCTGCAGCCCTGCAGCCCTGCAGCTCTGCATCCTTAATCCCTGCATCCCTGCAGCCCTGAAACCCTGCAGCCTTGCATCCCTGAAACCCTGCATCCCTGCACCGATGTGAGCACAAACCTTGTCCTGGAGTGCCCTGCCTGCATTCCTGCGTTCCTAATCCCTGCATTCCTAATCCCTGCATTCCCTCATCCCTGCATCCCTAATCCCTGCATTCCTTCATCCCTGCATCCCTAATCCCTGCAGCCCTACATCCCTGCATCCCTGCATCCCCACATCCCTGCATCCCCACATCCCTGCATCCCCACATCCCTGCATCCCTGCTCCTCCGCCCCAGCCAGCCCCCAGCCCTGCCCTGCTCCCGGGCACGCTCTGCCCGCCCCGGCCGTGTCCCCGCTCCGCTGAGCCCCACTCACACAGCGCCTCATGGTGGCTCTCAGGCTCAGCAGGAGGTTGCCCAGGTCGCCCATGCTCTGCTGGTGCTGAGCGCTGATCCTCATGGCGCTGGGCAGCACCTCCTCCATGTAGAACCCCATCATCTCCGACACCGACTGGCAGCCGAGGCTCCCCTGGGGGACAGGAGGGGGGAGCCCGGTTGGGGACGGCCACCAGAGCGGAGCCGGGCGTGGGAGCCGAGCTGGCCACGGGGCAACCTCGTGCGAGCCCCGGCACGGCCACACGGGTCCCTGCAGGGTGGCACAGCCAGCCTGGGTGACAGCAGCACGTGTCCCCGTTTCCAGCCCGCTCCCCTTCTCAGGAAACGCCCGCCCGAGGATGGGGAAGGAGGAGGATCTCGTAAGGAAATGAGATTCTTACCTTGAATTCCTCCAGCAGGTCAGAGCTGAGCAGTTGGATGCTGAGGTCGTCATCTTTTGATTGCTGGGGGAGGATGGAATTGAAAAATGAGTTTTTTCAGGCAGCTCTTTCCATTTGCTTTAACAAATGTTCCTTCCCTTGTTTGCATTTAGGGTCTCCCTGCAGCAAAGGGCACCAGTGCAGGTGTGAGCAGAGCACACCGGGTACAGGAATCACTCTGCTCAGCACGAGGGCTGTTAGGTCAGGCCAGCAAGAAAATGAAATCACAACCTTCAGTGCCACTGAATTTGTTAATGTGAAACTCCTCGGGCTGAGCTGGAGCTGCTCGCTCTCCTCGGGGCTGTCTGAGGCTGCTGCTGCAGGCAGCACAGCTCTCCAGAGAGGTGTCAGAGTCCTGGCAGCCCCCAGGAGCCACCCCAGCCTCTCTGCCAGGGCAGGAGGGATCAATCCCCCCGCTTTGGTTACCCCTGGAATCTCCTGTTGATGGGAAAAGGGGAGTTTGTTCTCGTGGTGCCTCTGTTGCACCAGCTGCAGTGGGGTGGGGTGGGCTGGCACCACCCAAAGCATGCAAGGATTAAAAGCTGTCCTGAGAGGTTAAAAATATTCTTTCCCAACATTATCTTGGAGATTCACAGCCAGCTCTACATCTAAAATCTTGCCTGCATTCATTTTTATGACAAATACAAGCCGTGACATTATCTTGAGATTTAATCCGGAGAATTACCTTGTTTTATTGCTAAAACACATTGGCATGGAGTAAAACAGTACCAGGGTGGTGACCAAGCACCTCTGTGAGCGCTGGTGCCATGGCAGAGGCTCCGAGTGCATCGTGAGCCCTGAGGCTCCCGTGGTGCACAGCAGGGACCTTACACAGGCACCTGCAGGTGTTCAGTGACTGCTCTGCTCCCCCACTCATAAAACACCCTGGGCAGGTTTTGTGCTTCTTCCAGATGAAAAAAAGCTGTAGGAAAAGATTTCCCTTTTCACCTGGCACTGACCTCAACAGGGCTGGACCTTGTTGCCCTGAAGAAAAAACAATTTCCTTCCTATTAATTCAGTGATTACCTCGGTTTGCAACGCTTTGGGGGAAGTTTGGTTAGAAAGCTTTGCAGAGGTTCATTATGAAATCTCGAGTTCATTGTCATTAAAACTAGGAAGAAAAGCCTGGCAGGTTTTCTCTCACTGAGCAGCAAAACCGAGCTGCTCTCGCTCACCCGAAACCCAACACAGCCAAATCATCTCTGCCGGGAGGAAGCTCTTCCCCCTCCTCCAGATCCCAGAACCCTGCAAGAAAGGCAGAACAAGAAGACAAAACTAATGATACTTACAAAATAATCCTTAATTTCCTCAAACTTGACCCTCAGCTCTCTGAGCCTGGCGGGCAGGAGCTCGGGGAAGTGGAGGCAGGAGGGCTGGGCGCGGGTGGGCGCGGTGCCCAGCAGCAGCAGCAGCAGGATGGGCACGGCTGTGCCCCTGGAGCAGGTCCTCATGCTGTGGGCAAGGGCTGCTCCCCTCTGCTGCAGCTCTGGGCTGGATCCCACAGGAGGGTACAAAGCAGATCTGCAGCTTTCACCTTGATGGAGCCCCTAATTTATACTCTCAAAACATCACTCCATTTCCTCTCCCCATTTCCTGACGAGCAATATTGGGGTTTTAAGTCATTCATTAAGCCCAAATGTCATTCGGGTTCCCGTCAACTTGGGTTTCCTGTTCTTTGACCCCCCTCCTCTCCTCACACCCCATCAATTTTTTGTGCTTAGACTCTGCATTTTTTATTTTTACATTTCTTGTTTCTTGTAAATTTAGCTGTGGCTAAGGAGGAAAGCTGCAGAGATACATGAAGAAGCCAAGGTGCTGCTTGAGGTTGCTTTATTCTAACAGTTCCATCTTTTATTTTTAGATAAATGTTGTATGATTAGGGGGAAAAAAAAGTGTTGTTACTTTTAAATCTCAGTATCAAACCTGCAGAGAGCAGCACTCACTGGAATTGCTTTTCATGATCTGTACAAATTCTTTGGCATTCTAATCTGCAAACACTCATCATCTGAAATCTTCATTTTTAATTCATTTGGGGTTTTTTTTTCCAGTTAATACACATGTCATCTGAAGCCAATGTGAATTTTCACTGCTCAGCAAGCTCAGTTTGTGCTCCCAAATATCAGCTGGATCAGCGGATCCCAGCTGGAAGATTCCAGCCCTGCTCTGGTCCCTTGTGGATCCTCCAGGGCAGGATCAGGATTTCTGCCACTGCTTTGATGCCTGATGTTAAAGTGCACAATCAAGTCAAGAAAATTCAGTTTCCAGGCTTTTAAATCTTATTTTGTTTCCTAGAAATGGACAGCAGCCCCATCCAAGCAGCAGCGTGTCCTGTCTTAGCTGGGACTTATTGTCCCAGCTCTGATAAAAGTGTCCCTTTGGAGCCACAGAGAATTCCTGTGACGTCTCCTGATTTTCCGTTTCCCTCTCTTTTCTCCTCCCTTTCTGTATGTATTCTAGCCCACATCCCCTGCTTCCTTGGGATAAAGATTTCACTTCTTTATTCGGGAATTTGGCATCCAAGAAAGTGAGAGGGGAGATAAATTTAGCTTTTCTGAAATCAGGATGTTTTCTTTGAAATCCGTCGTGTTATTTTAAAAGAGCTCGTTCTGCCCAGTAGGGAAGCCTTCCTCCATTAGGGAACAAATCCCTTAAATTCTTGTCTCCTTCATCACACTGATCTTCTTTCAAGTTGAATTTGTGAACCTCTGAGAGGGAGTTCATTGCTGGCAAAAAAAACAGCTGGGAAAATGCAAAGTATTGTTTGTTCCTGAATACTGAGAGAGAGATTTTCACTTCATTTTTAGGAGCAGGAGAGAGGAATGTTTGGCATGCACATGTGTAAGAGCAAAGGGGATGAAACATCACCAACTGGAGAGTCTGAGGTAGGGAAAGTGTGGGATTTTGTGATTTATTTTCCCTTTTTTTCTGTTGGTATTGCCTTTTCCAGAGAAGATGGGGAAGCTGCTGCCGGGGAATCATTGCAGGGATTTCAGTGCAGCTGAATCATGGCCTGAGTCACATTTTTGGTGGCCCATTTTTGTTCCCCTTGCCATGGGGTTTCTCCCCTTGACTGTCAGCAACATCCATCTGAAAGGAGAAGGGCAGGAAGCTCAGACAAAATCTGTCTTAAACTCGATTTCCAAAGGCAGGATCCCACCTTTCCCTGGCATCCCACACAGGGAAAGGTTTTTGCTTCATTTGAACCCGCCAGGGGTCAATAAATCTGTAGTGCCAAGACCTGGATGGCTGCTGGAGCTTCATCAAGGCATGGAAGCTGATGTGTGAGGTTGGTTTTTGTGATCCTGGATCCTCAAATCCTGGAGCTGATCCCATTCCCTGCAGGGCAGGATGCAGCCCCAGGCTCTCCCCTGCAGTGCTGAGCCTCTGCTGTGGGTTTAGGAACTGGTGTTTTTATGGGATAGATGGCAGAGGGGCTTTGAACAGAACAGGATGACCAGAGAGAGGAGACCTTGGAGATCATCGAGTCCAACCCAGCCCCAACACCTCAACTAACCACAGCACCGAGTGCCACATCCAATCCCTCCTTAACCACACCCAGGGATGGTGACTCCACCACCTCCCTGGGCAGACCATTCCAGCTCTTTATCACTTTTCCAGTAAAAACCTTCAGCCCAACATCCAGCCTAGGGGAAATACCCTGGCAGTGGCAGGAGATGGAGCAGCCCCACGGCGTTGGAAGCCTCCTTCCACCCTGCCCATGAGCTGAGCGCTCATTTCCAACCTTCTCTTCTCTGGAGCCGCCCTGGCTCTCCATGAGGTCACATCTGATATCCCGAGCGTGCCTGGCCGCTCTGGCTCTTGTGCAATTGCCTCCAGCCCGTTGTGGAAGCCCAGGCTGTGTTTTGGGGCTGGCAGCAGCGTCAGGCAGCCGTGCCCGTTCCGCAGAGGAAACTCTGGCGTGTGCAGGGCGATTCTCTGCTGTGTTTACCTGCGTTTCCTCTGCCTCGTCAGAGATCTTGACGGTGCAGTTTCGCTGTGACTCAGCCGTGCTGAGCGCTGTGGAAAGGCGGTGGCTGCGCTACTACACCGAGCTTCATGAATGAAGAAAACACCTTTTCCTAAAGAGTGTCCGGGGGCCGTGGGTGTAGCGCTGAACCTTTAGGAAACAGCTTTTGTCTTTGCCAAGAAGATCTCTTCAGGAAGGAGAACGTGTTACTCAAAAGCCATTCGTGTGCTTTTACCCCACTCCCACCAACTTCTGAGAGTGGCAGGTTCACAAGAACCAGCGGGGCAGCAAATGCTGCTTCTGCACTAAAACAGAGGCCCGTGGGCAAACACTTTCTCCCAGAATGTGCCATGGGGAAAGGTTGGTCCTGGACACGATCCTGGGGAGGGTTTGGGGTTGGATGTCCTCAGGGCCCCATTGTTGGAGCAGGGTGGCAGCTCATCCTGATAACTGAAGGGGTTTTTCTTCTCTTGGCAAGGTTTGATGTCACGAATTATTACTTTTTTATTTTGCCTTCTTGATCTCTGCATTGCTTTTGGACAGAGGGACATTGTGTAGCACCATCCCTGGAGGGGTATCACCATCCCTGGAGGGGTTTCACCATCCCTGGAGGGGTTTCACCATCCCTGGAGGGGTATCACCATCCCTGGAGGGGTTTCACCATCCCTGGAGGGGTATCACCATCCCTGCAGGGGTATCACCATCCCTGGAGGGGTATCACCATCCCTGGAGGGGTTTCACCATCCCTGGAGGTGTCCAAGGAACACCTGGACATGGCACTCAGTGTTCTGCTCTGGTGACAAGGCTGGGATCAGTCACAGGTCGGACTCGATGATCTCAGAGGTCGTTTCCAGCCTCAGTGATTCTGTGATTCTGTGATTTTCTGCACTATCTATTCTAGACATAACTTGGAGGATCCCCTGCATTTCTAGGCTGTCACAGTGGCGTTGTTCTTTCTTTCCTTTTCAGAAATTCCCCATTTCTCATCCCTCCAGATCCGGACGATCTGCTGCCAGTGACGCTCGTGGGGGAAGTAGGGACTTGGTGGCCTTTCCTTCACCCCGTGTTTGATGGCATTGCTCTCTCATCAGCCCAGTGCTGATGACTAACAGTTCCTGGTGAAGCACCAAGTGCGCTGCTTTGTGTTTTTCTCAAGAATTTTTCCAGCTGGCGAGGCGTGACCTTGGATATTTCACATGTGGGAACGTGGCCGGAACGCGCGGCGTGACTCGCGCCAACCTCAACAGATAAATCCCAAATTGCTCTGTGGAAATTTAACCAATATCACCGGTTTATCATGTCCAGAGATGGGTAATTAGTCATGAATTGGTGTCATTGGGAATTTGATGTGACTTCTAATGTGACACAGAGTGAGAGTTACATAAGTTCTTAGAAGGTCCAGAACTTCCACGTGATCTAAATGAAGCTGGAACTGTCTGGAATTGCCACATGAAAGAATCCAGTGAAGGAGACTCCTTCCCCTCTGCAGATTCAGTTTTGGTGATAAACTTAACTGAGAAATATTTGCACATTTTAATGGCACACAAACATACATAAACCCCCCAATATCTGCAATTCTGTTGCAGCCCAAGGCAGAGATTGAATAATAACAAAATTTAATAACCCTCCTGGAATTCCAGGGTGCCCTCTGCCAACCTAGAAGAGTCAGCTGTGCTGAATTCCCTATTTTCCATGTGTTTTACCATTTTAAACCTCTCTCTGAGGCATGTGAGGAGTCGTGGGTGAGGTCAGTGACGCTGCCATCATCCACATGGGGCTTTTCCCACTCCACAGAGCAAACAGAGGTGTTGTTATATTGTCATCTCTTTCATTCTCCCCTGAAATCAGTGATTGGCAGGAATTTTATGAGGCTCACAGCACTGTCCTTAGAGAAACCAGCGGGATCTTGGCACTGGTGTCTCAGGACTGGAGACTCTTCCCTCCAAGTGATGTTTCCTCAGGTGAGTTTCTTTGCAGATGACTAGAAAGTGTAAAAGCATGCCACAAACCCGCTGAATATATAATCCATTGCCCCAAATATCACTTTCACTGCCTTTTTTGGGTTTTTTCTGAGCCTTCTACAGAAGCAATTTTGGGCATCTCCTGCCCTGAGCAGCTCATTGCACAAGGGCTGCTTGGAGGAGCTTCTTTTTTCTAGTTCTGGTATTACTTATGGGTGGGGATGAAATGTGCGGATCTTTTGGATTGACTTTGTCATGATTTATCACCAAAACTCTGACCAATAACACAAACCCAGCCTATTTATAGTGCTGAGGGGGTCATAAGACAGAAACTCCTTCTCAGGGTTTGAGAAATCAAGTAAGGCCAAGCCAATGCTCGGAAGCTCCACGTGACCCCGGGGTGAATTTCAGAGCTTCGCTCCCTTTCCACAGCAGCAGCAGCCCCTGTGGCCAGCACTGGCCTGGCAACTCCCACCCTGGGCTTTTGGGGTGGTTTTTGTGCGAGGGTTTGGAAATCCTGGGT